ATATCAGTCAGAGTCCTTTAAGGGAAATAAACACCCAGACATTCTGCAAAGAGGGGACTTAATCTAGGGAATAGTTTTAAAAAATTTTGGAAGAGCTGAAAGCAGAATTAGGTAGCAAGATAACCCAGGACTTGGTAGCATTAGGAATTTGCTACTGTCCACAGATCTCTGAGAAGAAAAGAGAGGAGATGATGTTATGAGTCCAAAACACAAGTGCTGGATGCTGGAAGGAGAGCCACATGGGGTGCTGGACCTGTAAGAAGGGGCTCATCTGCCCACACAGGGATTGGTGAGCAGAATTCACTCAGGCTGATGAAAGCATTGAAGAAGGGTACCTTAGCAGGTGCCAGGGAGGAGCTTTATAGGCTGTGCTGGGACAACAGAGGAGAATACAGCAACGTCCAGAGACCCTGCCAGGGCACGAGACAGAAAGAGACAGAGAGAGAGAGGGAAGGAGGAGGAGGAGTGGGAAGGCAAAGGACAAAGGCTTCACTTGTCCTCTAGCCTCTCTTCTCCTGTGACTGCTGCCAATTGATAATGACTAACAGGAAGCCAGGTGACAAGGTAGCCTGGGAAACAGAGTTTGTGGAAGCCTAGCTCCAGTGCAGTAGTAATGGAGCAGAGAATGGTGGATAAGTGTGGGCTAAGAGACAAGTAAATAACTGGGACAGAGAAATTTAGATTGACAGGCAGACACGTTTTAAAAAGTGTCTGAACACATATCTTTGTTGCCGTCATACCTGGGAACATCCGTTATGGGCATTCTGACCCTATAATGATTTCTTGGATGCATTTTTGGTGGAATTGTAATAACATAAAAAATACCGAGGAACGATAATTCAAAGATAGACAACAACAGCCAGCTGCAAAGGATCGGTTCCCATATGATCCTGTCATTTGAACACTGTTGCCTCGGCCACAGTGGCGTAAGGAGTGGGCACTCTTCCTACATAACTTTTATTACCTCTCGGCCATTATGTTGCAGCTCTCCAGGAAATGTGGAAGGATTCTCTACACCCAGACATTATATGGAATAAGAAACCGTTCAGTATGTCTGGTCATTCTCTGCTGACTGGTTTGATTAGAAGTTGAAAAATGATCAAGAAAGGAAGTCTGTAGAAGAAAGTAGCTTGTATTCATGCACACACGGGCATACTAACACTGGAAACGAATAGGATCTAGCAACAGGGTGGACAGTGCTAATGACCAAAGAGATATATATATCTGTATATATCTATATATATATTGTTCCTTCTGGAAAACAGATGAAAGATAACGAGATCCTTCCAAGAGAAAGGTTCCCCTCAGAAAAATACGTAGCTTCTGAAGTGAGAAATCTAGCACAGAAGCAGTGTAGAACCCCCAATTCTTGAGGCAGTGATCTAAATCATTCCAGGGAAGAATCTACTTTGTAGATAATATAAACTGTACATCAGTATGGACCTTTCCAGATTGCACATCATTGCCACTTGCATGATATGTTTCAGGCCTTATGACAATCTTACGGTGTCCGCATTACCAACTTCCTTTTAAGGAGAGGAGCTCTTCCAGGGATTGCCTTCTCCTGCCCCATCACGTTCTCGTGCCCCATCACAGAATGAGATGATTGGGTATTTATGCTTGGTCTTTTGACTTGGGCCCCTATGCTGGCGTCTGTTTTCCTGACCACCCCCAAGCCTTCCACTCTCCTCTCTGAACAGGGACCATCTGGGGTCAGCTCTTTCTGTGTCTTGCTGTGGCTGCCTCAATAGCTCCTGATGGCTCTCCACCTTCAGCCGTGACCCCTCCAGTCCTCAGATTGCTGAAAAGTGATCTGCTCATATTATTTATATTATTTGTTTGTGTCCTGTAACCTCCAGAAAAAGGCCCCCACTCCTCGGCGTGACTCATAACGGGGTTTTTCACCCCACTGTGTCCCCTGTCCTCCGGCACTGCTGCCGGGCTCTTCCTCCACGCACGCACGAGCAGCTGGCTCTTTCTTACTGCTCCGCAGGGCACCTCTGCCCTCTGCCCTGTCTTTCCCGCCTGCCTGGAACACTGAGCTCATTTCATCACAGTCTGTCCCAGGGTCCTCTCCCCTTTGTCACCTCCCTTGAAGCTCCTGCAGGCAGGGTTTGGCCCTGGATGTCAATCAGTGTCACAGCACACCTCAGAATGGCTTGCCCTGTGCTCCTGGAATTGAATCTTGTTCAAACTTTCACTAATTTTTTGATACCAGGAGATACCAAAGACAATGAAAATTTACGTTAATGAGTGTGTACTCTGTGTCAGGCACTGTTCTGTTTCACACAGATCAATTCGTTTAATTCTCACAAGAGCCTCATGAGGTAGATGACATTACCTCTTGCATCTTATGAGTTATCTCATTTCATTCTCAGAATTGTCCTGTGAAAGGTATTATTCTCCATGTTTTGCAGAAGAGAAATCCTAGGCACAGAGAGGTCAGTTAACTCGCCCAATGTGACACAGCTACCAAATTGTGGAATGGGGATTGGAACCCCGCCTATAGAGTCTTGACCTGCAGGGGTTCTGGAATATTTATTTTTGGGTCCCTAGCATGTACTCAGTAAATGTTTGCTGATTTGAATTCAGTGTAAGTTTGAGGGGAATATTTATGACAACTGTGAATATTGAGAAACTTTCCTGATTTAAGATAGGAGAGGTAGGAAATCTCGGTGAGGAAACGCACGCGTTCAGACCCACCAGGGGTCTTTTTTTTCTTTTTAAGCACATCATCACATTCGACTTTCAAATTCCGGATGACAGAAAGACAGGTTATACAGAAACGATAAGATCTGATCCTTTTCAGGAGTGGAGTGGCAGCAGTTTATACTCTGGAGTGCTGTCTCTAACTTAGAATAGAATTAGAATGCTTTCTCATTAGGGCCATCTCTGTGCTCAGTATCCCCTCTATAAGACCATATTTTGAGACAATTCCTGATTGTCAGGGAGAAAAGATATGGAATTTTAGGGCATATAGCCCATCTGTAAAATTTACTAGGAACTGGAACATCTCTGCCACCTATGAACCTTAATGATTTTGATTAAAAAACAGATATAGTGAATGCTAAGGAAAGTATAGTCTAATCACTTGTGAAGCTGATATTACAGTTTTGACAGTATTACAGTCCTTCCTATTTTCCTGGAGGGCCTTGGCACAATAACTCATTTTGGGAACTCATCATTTGGATATGTAGTTCTGTTAAAAATGACAACCCCATTCTTTTTTCTAGAGAATCTGTGTGATAGAATGATGAAGATACGGTTCTAGGATTGAATGAAGAATGAGTTGTCAAGAAAGATTTGATTTTCAAATACACAGAGGTGGTAACTGAGACTCAATCAAGGATGGGTTTTCTTAGAGGCCTGACAGAAGAGTGGTAGATCGATGATTGCGTTTGGGGGAGCGTGCACAAATAGCGGCTGGGAAGGGGAGTGAGGTCAGTGTGTGTTGTAGTGGCAGGAAGACCAAGTTGGTGTATTAACATATAAGCCAAAGGAAGCGTCTCAGCAAGGAGGGGTAGGGTTTGATGTAGAGTTTGATGTGCCAAAAAGTGTCAAGGAGAATGAGGATTGAAAAACACATCATTCGATTTGGGGAGAAGTAGGTCATTCCCTTATTTCCCAGGGCACTGTGGTGGTAAAGTTGCTTTCTGCTTCTCTCCAGGTAAGCACTACGGGGCATTTGTGATTTAACCTGACTTTTCCAGGACGCTTTTAAAAGTAGAAAACGTACGATTCATCTAGGCCCTTCGATGAATAATGAAGTAGGTAAGTGTGTTATAATCAGTGCAGTATCCTTGTGCTTTCATGATGGCGATTTGATGCCTTTCTCATTTAAAGAAGAGGTGAAAATGAATCAACCTAGGAAAGGCGCTTTTATACTTGTGTAAATAATCCCATTAAAAGACAAGCATGAGAAACAAATAAGGTGGCACTAGATTAATTTTGGACATAGAGAAAAGTCACCAGGCATCTTTATCCATTGATTATACTTGCAGATAGAGGAGGCCCAGGCACGCTAATGGAGAATTTTGACACTGAAACACTCAGACGCACACACACACACACACACGCGTGTGCACAAAAATCTCTCGGAGTGCTTTGTCCCAAAAGCGTAAGTAGCTTGCATTAAAAAAAGAAAAATCTTCTAATAAATCAAAGTTTTGAGTATGCATCACATTAAAAACCATATTTTTGCTTCTTTAAAGTAGTAATAAAAGAAGCAGCTCCTTGTGTTCCTCTCCAGAGTACTCACAGCTAATGAGTAGCTGAAGGCCTTGCTAGAATTTAATAAACTCGTTTTTGTGGAGGCAGCTTGTGCTGCTCCTCATTGTGACTGACCTGGGTCTTCAGATGTGAATCCTTCATCCTACCTCCGTCTCACTGGGGATTGCTTATCCTGTGGCCCTTATCTAGATCGTCCAATTTCCAATTCAGATCAAGTGTATTGGGCTCTCACTGTCTGTACTTGAATTAAAGCTGTAAATACTCTACATCTTTCCTTGTTAATGTGATTGTTATTAATAATGATGAATAATTTAATTCTACATCATCAAAATCACCTTCGTGGGTGCTGCATGAGGCAATAAAAAGTGAAGAGAAATTTTCTTGAAAGGACAAACTTGATAATCCGCTAGAAGTTTCTTTTTTTTAAAAGAAATAATTGGAACACATCTGAATAGCAAATAATTGTCCCATTAAAAAGCACAGCTGGCTAGAGACAAAAAAGAAAACAATATAAGGGATTCATGAGAAAATTAACAGTGAATATTGAATTTCCTGAATTTTATTTCCAAACTGCCTGACATGCTGTTTTCTTTTGGTCTCCTTATTTCCCCCCTGGGGTTGGTCTTTTCACTGTGGCTGGTAGTTTTCTCTTAATCTTGCAATTAATCAGTTCTGTGGCAATTCAAATTTTGTGATTATTATAGAGTGGGACAAAATTCAAAAGTAGGTAAAAGATGAGAGCCTTTCTAATTCTTTTTCGGTCATCTGCTGTAGCCTCTCCTTGCTCCAGGATTGGTTTGTTCTCCTGATCCACTCTGGCTGCACTAGGACCTAACAGCAGTGGTTGGCCTGATGCTCTTCACTGTAGTGTCCTGAGTTTTGAGAGTTGACAAGCAAGCTGTCTTCTGTAAACACTTATCTGTCTAGTTCTGGCTTTGCTAAGTGGTGGCAAGTCAGTACTCTTTGACGTGGTCCGGTATGAATTGTTACCAGATTGCACACATACCCGTTTTAGAGAATTACATCTTAAGTTAAAGAATGATCTCAGTCACAGGAATCCCAGGCCTCTTGGCATGGGAGTAAATTAAATCTTATACATTTCAAATCACAGCCCATCACATTTATCTGCCAGTGGCAATAACACTGGGAAACCCTTTGTGGACAACTGGGGAGTTTGTGTAGGACTGGTTGCTTATAGCTTTTTATCTTTTTAAGATTCCTAAGCAGAATATAATAGCAGTTTGGCTCACGTTACTGGCAAAACAGTAAATGTTTGCTCCAGGAAGTTGACTGTTCTAATAGTAAACATTCCAATATTTGAATTATAAATCGGTAGCCTCCCTGGCGAGGTTGATAGTACCAGCTGGCTCATCTTGAGCCCAGGACATTCGATTGTCTTTTGCCTTCCTTTGAACAAGTTATTTCACAGCTGTCTGTCTTATATAATGAAAATAAATAGCTGCAATTCACTCTTGCATTGTAATGTATAGTTTTTCTCAGTCAGCGAGTCATCATGAAACTTGCGAATGATGTAAGGATAAACATGGAACTAAACACAGGGCATCGTTGTCTGATAGGACCTTTCAGATATTAAACTTAAAGGTGATTTACTGAGGCTGGATTTTACATTGTGTTAACTTTTCATTTGTCAGCACTTTACATATCCTCTTGGCTAACAAGTGAAGTGGTTTCTGTTCATTGCACCTGAATTTTCCCCCATAGCCCCAGAGCTTGCTTTGAAGGAGAGCGAGCCCCGCACAGACAGAGGAAGATGAATAACAAAGCAAGGGCAGACGCTGGAACAGGAGATTTCATCGCCATGCTCATTTACTTGTCATGTACAGTCGTGCTCACTGAAGATGGACTGAAAGTGCATTCCTGTGTCAGATAACCATGCTTGAGTTTCACGTTTGAGGCAGGAAGCAAAGGATATATGTCTCTGAAATCAACTCAATGTGGTTATTTGCTAAGTTTTCATGAATACTGAAAGGAAAAGGTTGGCCGATATAAAAAATGTAGTGTAACGGTTCCCTCAGGGGCTGGGCACTGGTGAGGTTTGCAGTATTGCTTTTGATCTCCCATTTATCCCTTTCTGAATATTAATAAAATATACTTTGGGATATGGTTTCAAATTAAGGGAAATTAATGATCCCCTTTGAAAATCAGACTGTTATGCTATTAGTCTTTAAGAAAGTTAAGAAACCATTCAAACATTAATTAAGAGTTCACAGTTCTCTCTCTCTTTCTCACTCTTAAATTGTTATTTAGATCTTTTAAGGGAGAAGAACACTGTGGCTTACCCCAGCTGTTGAGTTTCCAGCAGACTCTACAGATATAGGGTGGTGGGTGGCCACAGAACTGAGACAGGTACATTTCATTCCTCTAATTTTATGTCGAGGGTTCACCTTGCTGTGTGGACCACACGAGGTTAAAATTCAGAGAAGAGGAGATTTAATGTATGCTGAGTGAATCTTTCAGAAATCCGAGGTTGTTTAGTCATTTTGAAAATTAGTATCAACTTGAGAGGTTCTCTAACTACATTTCTGTGAACTGTTGCATATTGAAATTGCAACAAAAATGAAGTCTTGTGTGTGTGTACAAGATCATAATTGAACAGATTGCTAGGGAGGTATATTCTTACATTTACATCTTCAGATATTTAAAAAACTCTACTGATTATAAGTCAGGGAAACTTGTATTTGCCTGCAATGGTGAGGAATTATGGAGATTCAGCCTCTTGTGAATAATGTTATGAACGTGCCATATAATTGATCAGGGAGAAGGGCATAGTGACAGTATGGAGTATTTAACAGTCAAGCATGGTATTCTAATATTTCTACTTAATTGGCTATGCAGTAGATTAGGATGATTAACTCAGCACTGCATTAGAGTCTTGGGAGATATCTGTTCCGGAAGAACCTGCAGAAAAGAACAATGTGACCTCATCAGCTAGTGCTAAACAGATATGGGTTCTTCACTGGTGATCATGAAATTGGAGGAAGAACACTTATGGTGTCCAAAGGCCAAGTGTAAAAATCTTGCCTCTGCCGTTTACAACAGGGTGACCAAGAGGCCAGCTAACCTCAATTTTGTTTTATTAGCAAAGAAGAGATACTAATTTGCACCTTACTTAGGTCTAAACATGATACTAAAATTTGTTAGTTGTGAGGGTGAAACAAGAAGTTTGTGAGATAGCTGTGCAACTGGAGGGCACTGTATAAGTGTAGTTATTTTAATTAATTAACCACTGACAATAGAGATGGTAGTGATGTTTCTCTATCCCACTTCGTTTCTCCTCATTGGCACTGATGGGTGGGGCAAAACTTGCGGTGGAGAAGGTCTTCACTATCTTTCTCACTGGATTTTGAAGATCCTGAATTATAAAAATATTGTTTAGGAACAACGAACATTTCCTTTGGGCCTAAAATTCCTCAAATGAGTATGCTTAAATCACTGGAGGGAAGAGATTTCCCATCCTGAATATTTGAGAAAGAAGATCAGTAAAACTCAATGATTACAAAAGTTTAGAAAACTTTTTCCTCCAGTCAAATTAGATTACTCACTGTCTAATAAATTATAACATATGCATGCCAGTTCTGTTTCAAGAATTTAGAAGCAATATGGTTTCTTAGAACTCTGTCAAAAATGGTCATTGCTCATAGCCATTGTCTTCTCTCTTCTCTCTTTTTATGATAGTCTTTCCTTTATTTTAGACTCTAATTAAATGCCGCTTCTTACCAAAATCTTCCCTGATTACCTCAGTTATATGGTAAACACTATCCTCAGAAACTCCTTGGTAAATGTGTAATTTACTGGTTTGTGTTCTTATTCACCATCCCATGTGTATAGGACTTATGTCCTGAAATGAATTTCTTTGTAGGAAAGAATATTCATTGTACTTCAACTGTTAGAAAATCATACTGGGAATTTATGTTGACAAGGATCATCAGACAGGTAAGAAGAGCTGCTCCAGTAGGAACAATTTGAGAGTAAAAAAAGTTAATTGGTCAGAAAAAGAAAGAGTTCAAAAAAACATTTATTTGATGGAAAAAAGTTTTGAAAATCAATTTAAGTTTGGTGAATTTGAGATTAAGGAAGCAAAGTATTGACTGGAAACCATTGATACATGACCAAGACATTTTAGAGGAAGAAGAAGAAATTTAAGTTTCATATTTAGAAAAAGAAAAATTGAGGGTGAAATTAGACCCATTTAAGGGATGTCTGGTGGGTCTCTTTTAGTTGCCTTACCATCTGTATTCAGTGCACCATAACTTGTATTTTTCACATGGAAAGCTCCTGTGGAGTCTCTCTCTCTCACGAACGACATCTTTCTTTACAAAGAATGTTCTTTTCAGGTGGCTGCGTTTGGAGTGACTGTGTGAGGTCCAAGGAATGAAAGGAATGGATGATGGTTGCATTATTTTATTTTGTATTTGAATAGATAGTCATCGTCTTATTCTCTTACCACTTCTAACCAAAGTCAAAATAATGCAGACCTTAAAATGAACAGGTGCTATTAGGATTAGAAGCACCTATTCTGAATGTCCTTAATGGGGCTAATTTGTGCTTAGAATGTGTTCCTTTTATTCTTCTAAGTTTTTCAGACAATACTAAGACAATTTGCTTTTTCATGCTACGGAGACGTGTTACATAAAATTGAAATTACTGACATTGTCCCTTCTCTATCCTTTTAATATTGTTTTCCTTCCCATTTTAGGTTGTCTTATGATTTTCTTTTCCTGTGGAATTTTCCACTATACTGAGTTTAGAAACAGTATGCTTTCTTAGAACCCAGTCAAAAATGGTCATTGCTCATGATCACTCCGCTTCAGGCCGTAGGAAAGGTGTTAGAAGGTGTGCAAATTCACTTCACAGACCATAAACAATATTCAGTCACATTGGCTCTAATTTTAACAATTATTAACAAAATTGAATAAAAGGAAAGGATTCTTTGGGGTCTTCCTGTCCATTCGACTCTGCTGTGGTGTCGTGCGTTGCTTGCATCTCACCTGCATTCATAATCTAAACACAGTTTTGGAAAGTGGACTTTGAATGTGGTTCTTAGAGACACTAAGAATAAAGACTATTTCCAAGCTCTCTACTTTGTGTCTAAGCTTGGACATATAGTTGGCTCTTTTATACAGTTTTCTTCCCATCTTTGCAGAAAAATTAAGTGCTTACATCTAAAGTTTCTCTGAGAAGAAGTGTAATATTTACTGTGTGTTCAGTATAAAATCGAGGATTAATAAAACAGAGAAGAGAGAAAGATGTTAAGCAAGAAGTTTACATTCCAGCAGTAATTAAGTTGTTGGTTGTACTTGGGTGGTGTCATTATTTACTGAATTGTCAGTCAAATTGTTTCCTATACATTAATTTCATCTTTCATAGTAAAACCTAAATTTTCTACAAAGAGAGGAAATTGGAGACTGCAAATGCTGTGACACCAGCACCCTAGTTCACTTTGGTTCACCTTTGCATCCTTAGCATCCAGCCCAGAGCCAGGCACATAATAGGTGATAAGTAAATATTTCTTTATTAAGTGAATGAATAAAAATGGAATGAAGAAGTCATTCTACAAGTAATTTAAAAAATATGCTTGGTTAAACTGAGTTATTGAAAAAGAGCCTAATTCAGATGCTTGGTCATTTTTACTGTTGTCTTAAGCAGCAAAAAGCATTAAAAAAGCATTTATGCAAACACCTAAGGAAGAGCCTAGTAGGCTTACCAACGCTTGCCGCTGGCATGCATACAACAGGTATTCCTCTGGGACGCCTTGCTTCTCTGTGTTCCACACAATTTTATTTTACTGGCAGCAGATTACAAGAGAAATGGAGACAAATTCGCTATCAAAAAACTGTTCTCTGAGCTTGGTGAAAGCACGTTAACTAGCCCGATAACAGCAACTTCTAGGACTTTAGATGCTTCCCAACTCCTGCATAATATAGACCTAAAGGTGAAGAGACAGGTGTTTTACTCAGTTATGCTCATAGTGATTATGACAGCTTCACTCAAGACTACAGAATGGATTACTTACCTTCATTTCATCATCACTTTAACTTAACAGATACCATTTTCCTGGCCTGGAAAACATAGTTTTCTCTGTTGGTCTTTTATCTAGATCAATGCTGTTCAGTAGAACTTTCTGTACTACTAGAAATGTTATATATTTCTGCTGTCCAGTATGGTGGCCACAGCCACATGTGGCTTTTGAGCCCTAGTGCCACTGAAGAACTGGACTTGTAATTAATTAAATTAATTAGAATTTAAATTCAAATAGCCACATTGGCTAGTGGCTGCCACATTGGACAGTGTAGTTCTAGACTGTAGCCCCTAATGTTCTGTAGTGGAAACAACACAGGTGGGGGCAGATAGAATCAGAGTTTGAACCCAGTCTTGCTATTTACAAGTCACGTGAATTTTACCAAATCATTGAATTCCTCTGGGCATAATAGAGTTAATAATAGTACTTCAGGGCAGTATGAGAATTAACTGAAACGTCAATATCATTTATATGTGTTATTTATATATATATATATATATATATATATATATACATATACACACACACAGTTATGTACCACGTAACGATGTTTCGGTCAATGACAGATTGCATATATGACGGTGGTCTCATAAAATTCTATAGCCTAGGTGTGTATTAAGCTATACCATCTAGGTTTGTGTAAGTACACTCTGTGATGTTCAGACAGGGATGAAATCCCCTAATAACACATTTCTTAAAACATGTCCCATTGTTAAGTGATGCATGACTGTGTTTATATGTATCTCCATATATGTATATATCTCCATGTATACATATATCTCCATATATGTAAAATGTGCCTAGAAGAGTGACTGATATATAGTAGATCAATAATGATCATTAAAGTTCTTTCACTTTCTGAATGTATTATGGGTAATAATAATTACAGTTTGTTAAGGAACTACTTTGGGGCAGACACTCTGCTGAACACCTTATATGCTGTGAGGGTAAGCAAAGTGCCCAGGGCAATATGTGATGGAGCCTGGATTTGAGCCCAAGTCTGAGTCCCAAACCTACGTGTTTATATATCTAATCTATGTATTTATTTCCTTATTCCAACTTTGCCTTCTTGCTCCTTGAGTTTGGGAAGAATGGCTCATTCTTCTGTTTAGTTTTCTTCAGCAGACTACCTTAAATTTAATAGGCACTCAGCATGTGGTATGTATCATTTGATTGGCATATGTCATACAGAAGGCCTTGGCAAGTAATAGGAAGATAGCCTGTTAGGAGCATCAAAGTCATTCCCCAGACACTGAGGACAATGGTTTCTCCTCTTCACTTGCTTCTAAAGCTCAGAGAATCCCAGAGCAATGTGAGGGGCTGTTTTAATGGACAGGTGTTGGAAGATGAGCCTCTAGACTCTATATCTCCTGCAATGATTTACAGCACCTCGGCCGGAAACCAGTGTATGGACCCTATCCAAGAAAAGCCTCCGTGCATATTTCGGGGTATCAACTTGTGAAAAACGTTTCTGAGTGCCAATATCATTGTCTACTAGCTTTGGCTACAGAATTTTATTGTTATTTTGTGAAAAAGAAAACAACATAGATATTTGATTATTTTTCTTGTTACCTTTGCTGTAATAATAACAGTCACTGAATCAGAGACTGAGGCCAAAAGACTCTGGCAATTACAGCTCATGAGAGAATTGGTTCAACTCACTCAGAAGGAGCAAATGATGCTTTTCCACCTCACAGGATGTTGGGAAGTGTGGATGTAGTTTTTGTGAGAAGCTTAGGCACAGGTAGATGGGGAGCCCATGCAAACCCCCATTCTGGCTGGGCTGCCATGTGGAGTGGATGTTAACTCCACCTTAACTTGGGCTCCCTGTTAAGTGAGGACACCAATATCTACTTGTCACACTGCACAGAGTGTGGAGACGTTTGTGCTAAGACAGATAGGACTATTCTTTGTAGATGGTAGGTAATGGCCACCTGCCCTGCCCTTTGCTCCAGTTTTTAACTCTGTGATCAGGAGAGGAATGGGCGTGGCTATAAGAACTAATTATAGATGCCACTTTGGGCCTTTATCTGCTGTTTAGGCTCCTATGGAAACCTCCACAAATATCTTGCTGAGTAAGAACATTTTCTTTGATAAGAACAATTTCAAAAGGGGGCAAATGGAGCCATATTTGGCCTCCCTTTTTTATTTTATTTCTTAATGACATGAAACTGATCTGGATGCTGGATGCGCTATTGCTGTTGAGAATAGAAAGAAAGACAAGGAGTTACTGTCAAAAACTGGATGAGGCCTCAATTGGTGAGAGGTCCTACTCTCAAAGTAGTATTACTCTGAAAACCTAGTCATTATTTTTGGCAGACATTCTCTAAATATAATTGGCTTATAGCTAAAATCCTATTTAACTCATTTAGTTACTTGGGATTAAATTTTTTATCTGATTTATCTTGGAGGTACACCAAGAAGTTACCTTCATTAAAATTTGATGTCCTTTGAGTGCAATATTGAAAAACTTTTAAATGGTTTAAATGGGTAATTTGCAACACTTGCTTTAGAAATTCTCCAGGTAAAGTGCTTTTTTATAAGCTGTATAGCACAGAACTTTGAGACCTTTTGTTTGAGTGGACCCGAGGACTGTTTGCTGAGGAACCTTGACCATTTCTGCCAAACTTCCCTTTGCCCATCTCCATGTATAAATTGCAGAACTTTCTATTCAAGCATAAATCTTTAACTTTTGTTAGAGGATTAAACCCCTAGTCTTTTTCTTTGTTTTATGCACAAAATAAATCAATCTGTCCTTAATTGGTAGCATAGATTATTTGCAAGTTCTTCCCAAAGAGCTCTAACTCTTAAAATATTGGAACTCAGCCTAGACATTAGTCTAGAACATTTCTTCAAGATTATTTCAAGTATATGCAATAATCTATTCTTGCTGTTCTAAATTTTTGTCTTCGATCAAGTCAGATTGCCAGAGAACTACTTATTTAGACAATTAGATAATAACTTTGGCCTTTAAAAAAAGCTACATTTACGTTTAGAGTTTCCCTTGGCTTTACACACATGCCCATGTCATGGGATGTTGTCAGAGAAATGTTATCTGGGCTCCATTGTAAGGCTGATGTGATGGATGCTGACCTCCACTTGTGCAGCGTGTGCTTCAAGGGAACCTGCAGCATAGATATCTCCTAGGTGTTGGTACCAGAGAAAAAATGAACTTTTCCTGAACCTTTTTTCTCTTGACCGTTGTTAGTTTTGTAAGTCATTATTTCCCAAATTATATTCTGCAGAACCCTTTTCACAGTGAGGCCGGTAAGTGGTGCATGGAAAATCTTTCTGTGCCTCATACTATGCTGGCCTCTCAGTGTGTTAATCAGCATGCCGATGGCCGTGTGTCGTCCTACAGTTAAGAAGAAACAAACAGTAGCTTTGTTTTAATCCTTCATTTGCCAGTATTTCTTATACTCTGTGTGTGTGTCTGTGTGTGTGTGACATTTCAATTAAGATTCAGCAGAATAGCATTAAGCAGATACCAGTTTGAGGAAGACTGTTGCAGTTTCATGATTTTCCTCTTTGTTTTGGTTGTCAAGAGGCCCAGAGTGAAATTTGAAAAATTTTAAACTTAAATTCTCTCATCTCTGGACAGCACACTCACCTTGTAAGCTAGCTGCAGCCGCTTCTGCCTGGCTTCCTGACCCCAGGGGCACTCAGAACTTTATAGTCTCTTTTCCCCACAACTATGACATCTGGCTCTGCCTTATTTTTCTCATTTATTTTAACTACCTCCTCATTCTGTCCTAGGCATTTAACTGACGTATGTTATATTTTAAGTTTCGTTTTTCCCAAGACTCGTGAGGCAGATCCTTAGACTTATCAATCACCCTCACGTTTTCTCTTGTTTCTATAGCTTTGCTATTCGATCTCCTCTGATGAACCCCACACACCTGATCAACAACACAGACTCTGATATTATAGCATGCGTCTTTTTGTGACCTTTATTCCTGTCATCTCATTTTCATCTCTTCATTTCTCACATCTTCAAATTCCCAACTCATTTATTTATTATCCTGTTTTCTTATGCATATCTCTGAAAGCTGGCTCAAGTCCTTTATGTGATGAGATGATGGTATAAATAGCCAATTGATTATTTTTAGTAATTAATTAAAAATAAATAGATTTCTCTCTTTCTACTACCTGAGAAATGTGGTCAGGCAGAAGTGAGAATGACAACATTGATGGCATGTGAGTAGGAGTGCTGGTGAGTCATTTTGGAGAATAGGGGCAGTTAGGCAAAGCTGGGTAAGCATAAGGCTCTTTGAGGTGCTTGACATGAGGGAATGAAAAAGTGCTTCCTGGTCTGCTAGACTTCAGTGGAACTCTCAGCTCTCCCCCTGGCTAGTGGTGCCATCTAAGTCAGAGGCACAGGAGAGAAACCTCAGCCTTGCTACCTTTGGCATCTTAGTGTAAATTATCAACACCTTCCAAAACGTGTGTATTTGGAATCCTGATCCGCAGAAGCATGCAGCCCGTGCGTCTCCCTTCCAAGCACCTGCCTGCACGTGCCTCCATGGCTGTGTGCTCCCTGGTCTCCGCTGTGCTCATAGGCCTGACTCCTCCTCCTCTGCCATATTTGGGAGGAATTCCTTGTGTACTTACTTCATTGATCAAAATTCTTCCAACTGGAGTCAAATGGCCCTCACTCATCTTTTGTGCTTCCTGGGTATTCCAGAATGACACGCTGGAATGATGCATTGAGAGCAAATGTTGAATTATTGAGCAGGGCCCTGCCTCTGAACTGTTTGATTCAGAGAAACACCACAGACACACTTCTGACCCTGATGCCATATCCTTTCTTTTATGCCTCAGTTTGTCAGCATTCATTTGTCTTTTTCAAAACTGAAGTAGAGAATTTCATAAAAATTTTATTTGTCTTCTGTTACAATGAACACACCCCATTTGTTTGATTGAGGCTGCCTGCTTTTCTTCCGGGATTCATCCTAACATCACCACCAATTGCACATTTCTGAAACCTCTCTTTCATTATGCCAGTCCAGCGTAAAACCCTTCATTGACTCCTCTTACTACCTACAGGTTAAAGTCTAAATGCATTATTTCTTTTGGATTTCTAAGCCTCTACAGTTTAGATCCACTTTCTGTTCTTAGCTTTGTTTTCTATTAGTACTCTTTTCACAAGCCATTTTCTCCCATCACACTAACTTTTTGAGTTTCTGTTTTAAGATTTGGCTTTGAATGTGTTCCAGTACAGTTCCCCAATGTACATCATAATAGCAACAACAACAACAATAATAATAATAGCGGTCGCTATAGTGGTAGTGGTATTAGAAATAGTGAAAATAACGGTAACCACACTGGAGTGTTTGAATCATGTGCCTTTCTTGTCTTCCACATCTTCACCTTTTGTCTTCTTTCCACACTTTTCTTCAGCTATCTTAACATCCTTTCAAGGCCCTCTCAGATCGCTTCTCTCTGTTAAGTCTTTTGAACGACTGTGGCTAGAAACAGACTCTCTTCTGTGCAACCATTGGTTAGCACACCTTTTGTGACTTCTGCAACTAGCTACTTTTTTTGTATTTAGGTAGTTCTCGTGGGAGTGACTTATATACGTTATTTACATGTGAATGACACCTCCTTCAAATCCTCTGTGAGATGTACTTGATTATATTTAGAACATTAACTTCTGATAAACTCACACATCCATGCACATGTGCATACACATGCACATAGGTAAATAGGGATGTTCACCAGAGGAGCAAAAACATTTGCAAGCAAATGGTAGGTGGCGATTCTTCACCTTCTGTAACTGAAGCCACTCTGGTTTTCTCTCTGCTTCCTTCCTCCTCTCACTGGCAGACCTCCATGGTGATGAGTTGTCTTGATGAGACACAGTGAAATGGGTACTGTGAACTGCGGTGCATTAATACTGCTCTAGTTGAAAATTGTTCCAGTTTAGCATTTAGTTTATTGTGTAATATCAGTTTACAAGAGACAGAACTTGTGTTGAACTGTGTGAGATTTTTAAAAAAAATTTCGTGGAGATACATACTTAATCTTATGCTTTCTTGATATGTTCTGGTACAGTCCTGCATGCATCATACTAATGATAATAGGAAAATCAATGGTGATGAAATAGGGCTTCAAACATGAAGACTTTAATCTGCATAGACAATTTGATAATTTACACTCAATTGTAATAAAATGAAGAGAAATGCACTGTCTTCTAGTTTTAATTGCTTAGCTCGTATTTTCTTTGAGGAGATCTTTTCCCAAGGGCACCTGGGGATTTCCTGGAATGGTGTGGAGGAACACCTGGCATGGAGTGAGGTGTGGACCTCCAGGGGATTGGCTGCGTCAGCACAATGCCCTCTCGCTCAGGCTGCAGCTACACCTACACCTGTGTATCATCAGTTTGGGAGAAATGTGGATCTCCTCTTGGGATTTAACCTACCTTTGCTTTAAGGGAAATTTCCAAATGGAATTTTTAAAGTAAGTGTTACCTAATTATAACAACATATTTATTTCCCTTGACCATCTTTGGTTTTGACTTGTTTTAATTTTTAAAATTTTATTATTTAGAAAAGGTTGATTGGCTATTTTTATGGGCCTGTGTGGTGTGTACATGAGATACTGTCTGAGCTAAAAGTATTTGCATATGCCCACAGGCCATTGATGAAATGAGATTCGGCATAGAAACTAATCAATCAGTGCTTTGCAAGGATCCCATTTTCTCTAGTCAGACAGGATGGTTGCATCAGGGTCCATGATACTCTGGCGTTTTTACGAATTTTACTACACCATCTGTGGTCTGTCCTTGTGCACCTGAAAACCCTTCAGAAGCAATGATTTCTGTGTTCGATGCTCTGCACTCTCGGTTCATGCTGTGACACTGTACTTTGTTTCAAGGGAGGAAAAATCATAAGTTCAGTCTAGCCCTGGAACATGGAGGAAAGAGCTGGAAAAGAATTTGTGTGCTATCTCTGTGTATTATTTTCGAATTGTGGAATTAATAGTTTTTTTTCATTTAAGCCATTCCTTAAAAGCATTTTATGGAGATTGTTTTAGTATTACTGAGTGTTTGGGGCTTTGGAATCCTTAGAGCTCTTCTTTAGGGTGGACAGGTTTTTTTTTTTTTTGTCTCTTTTTTGGGCTTCCTGAGTAGCTTAAAAGCAAATGAGGAGAAACCAATTTTAGAATTTCTGAAATAACTGCTGTGGAGAATAAATGCAAGATCAAAGGAATATCCCCAACCTTTTTACATCCTCTGATGACTCTTTTATTATTTTTCTCCTTTGTGAAAGATTTCACTTTTCTTTGAATCCTTGAACAGACTTTCTTGTGTTTTTTAAAAAGAAACTTAAAACTTTCAGACTTGTAGTATGAAGTCTAGCGTGTGGGATGTTGATAATAAGTACAAGAGGAAGTTGTGAGTAAGAAAATGGAGAGAATGTAGATTGTAGAGTAGGAACAGACACACACGCACGCCTCACAAGCAGCCTTGAGAGAAGGAATGATGATCCAGACATGCATGCTAGAGCCTTGAGAGAGAGTCAGAGTGCTTTGCTGGCTTTTGCATGAGATTACAGAGGGAGAATTACATGTTCACCATGTACAATGAGGAAGGAGCTGGGGAAACAGTCCTTCAGGCATATTGAGCTTCCTTCCTGTGCGCGCAAAGCATGTTAATGTGGGTTACCTAAAGCTTTCCCCATCTTAAGTATCAAGTAAACTTGGCATAATCAGGCATGATTAAATAGGGAGGCTAGAGAAAATATGCATTCCTTTTTTCAGAAAGAATACACGAAACTGAACCTTGCTTCTCAAAATGCCTCAGTGCACATCCAGGCACTTGTTTCACAGAACAAGTGTTTGCTGTCAGGGGGAATCTCACACCTGGGGCTCATGTTTCCATGTGGAGGGACGTGTATTTGGGTGACACTTCTGCTGCCCTCTGCCCCCTCAGTCACTTCTCCCCAGTGGAGGGGAACATGCCACTTCTCTGGTTGGTAAAAAGAAGGAACTGAATGAGCTTGCTCAGCCCCGTGCCTGTGCCTTCCTTTTTCTCTTCCCCCAGGGTTGCCTGCCTGTCCAGAGGATGCGTTCTCATCTGGAGCCAGAGGATTGAAGTTCAAATCTCACTTCTGCTAATGATTACCTGTGTGATCTTGGGGAAGTTTCCTAAGTTTGGGGTTTCTTACTTTCCTTTTTTGGTTTTCCTAATTTAAAAATGCATGGTATAATAGATTGCCTTCTTGGATGTTGTGTGGAAGAGCCTTTAATTTGTTGAGGATAATGGAGAGTTTTGGAGAGATCAACAGATTAAATGCTGCACACACTATCCTTTACCCCCCAAAAAATCCAGCAAGTTTGTTGGAGGGGTGATATTAAAGGATGAGGGTGTTGCATATACCAAAAACGTGCCTTGTACCTAACAGACACTTGATAAATATTTGTTGGATGAAGCTGTTATTGAAAGAAGGAACGCGTGTTTTGAAATCTCTTTGGGTGATTCTTCTGAATACCCCTTTCCCTCTTTCCCTGAACACACACCAATTCCACACACTTATGCACACATGCACATCACCTGTAGAGATTCCTTGTGCATCTTCTTTGGGGCCATTTCTTATTAAATTATTGATGACACATATACTTTATAAGAATAGCAGGCTGGAAATGTTTTCTTCTCTTTACAAGCATTGTTAAGAATATACTTATTTTGTGCTATTTTAAAGAGTCATATTTATAAACCACCAGCATTTTCTCAATTGCATTTGACAGATTACACCACTTGCTTCATGATCCAAATATAGTCTGTTTAATAGGTGGCACTGTCTTACACCATCACAACTGAGTCATAGGCCCTGAAGGGAAGAAAGGCTCATGGGAAGTGGTGTCTCATACCAGTAAAGAAAAAGATGGGATTTACTACTTCTATTACAATCATTTTTTTAAAAAGAATCAAGCTCGAAATCTGAGTTATGTTTCTCCATTTTACATTCATTAATACAGTGTATTATAGCTAGACCCATGTAAATATAGATTTCTAGAATATCTTCATCTAAAATAATTGTTAGCGAGTGACACATCTATCATTCAGGTTTGTGTTAGAGAAACCTGCATAGTGGTTTAAAAAGAGTTCTTGTCACTAATTACAAATTTGCTTAATTAGACTGCCTTTTATTCAATTTTAAAAATACATAGTATGGCAGAGATTTCCTACCTGCATGTTATGTGGAGCAAAGAAATACTGGCCTTTGAGTAGTTGAAGAACATGAGGAATTTAAGAGGGTTAAACTCAAAATGATACAGGGAGCCCGTAGACTTGGGCAAAAAATCCAGTGATTTATATGCTGCTTATAATTAGATCATTTAGTTGATAACTGTAAAGAATAATGCTCGGTTTTGTGGTAAAATTGAGAAAATAAATGAATGCCGTCTGTTCTTCCTAGGTGGCAGACAATGCTGCACGTTCTTTTTTTTAATGTGCCTTTTATTTTTTATTTATTTTTTTATTTGAGTTCATAATAGTTTACATCATTGTGAAATTTCAGTTGTACATTATTTCTTATCTGCTACCACATAGGTGCTCCCCTTCACCCCCTGTGCCCACCTCCCAAACCCCTTTCCCTGGTAACAACTAAACTGTTTTCTTTGGCCATGTGCTTGTTTATATTCCACATATGAGTGAAATCATCTGGTGTTTGTCTTTCTCAGCCTGGCTTATTTCGCTTAGCATAATTCCCTCCAGGTTCTTCCACGTTGTTGCAAATGGGATGATTTTGTCTTTTTTTCTGGCTGAGTAGTATTCCATTGTGTATATATATATATATATATATATATATATATATATATGTCACATCTTTTTTATCCAGGCTTTAGTTGATGGGCACATGGATTGTTTGGGTAGATAGGCAATATATAGTCATATGGTAGGTCATATGATAGTTCTATTTTTAGTTTTTTGAGGAATCTCCATACTGTTTTCCATAGTGACTGCACCAGGTTGCATTCTCACCAGCAGTGTATGAGGTTTCCCTTCTTTCCACACCCTCTTCCACATTTGTTATTTTTAGTGTTAGTGATTATAGCCATTTTACAGGCACAAGGTGGTATCTTACTGTAGTTTTGATTTGCATTTCCCTGATGATTAGTAATGTTGAATGTCTTTTCATGGGTTTATTGGCCATCTGGATATCTTCTTTGGAAAAATGTCTGTTCATATCCTCTGCCCATTTTTTGATCAGGCTGTTAGTTTTTTGTTGTTCAGTTGTGTGTGTTGCTTATATATTATGGAGATTAACCCCTTATCGGATATATGATTTGCAAAAATTTTCTCCCAATTGGTGGGTTGTCTTTGGTTGTGATCCTAGTTTCTTTTGCCTTGCAGAAGCTCTTTAGTCTGATGAACTCCTACTTGTTTACTTTTTCTTGTTTCTTGTCTGAGAAGACATGGTGTTCAAAAAGATCCTTTTAAGTTTGATGTCGGAGTGTACTACCTATATTATCTTCCAGGAGTTTTACGGTTTCAGGACTTATCTTCAAGTCTTTGATCCATCTTGAGTTTATTTTTGTGTATGGCGTGAGATAACGGTCTACTTTCATTGTTTCGCATGTGATTGTCCAGTTTTCCCAACACTAGTTATTGAAGAGACTGTCTTTTCTTCATTGTATGTTCTTGGCTCCTTTGTCGAAGATTAGCTGTCTGTACATGTGTGGTTTTATTTCTGGGCTTTCAGTTTTGTTCCATTGATCTGTGTGTCTGTTTTTGTACCAGTACCATGCTGTTTTGATCACTATGGCTTTGTAGTACATTTTGAAGTCAGGGATTGTGATACCTCCAGCTTTGTTCTTTTTTCTCAGTATTGCTTTAGCAATTCAGGGTCTTGGTTGCCCCATATGAATTTTAGGATTCTTTGCTCTATTTCCTTGAA